GAATACTTTTATGACTTTTATTATTTTTATGCTAGTGAGAACCAAAACAATATGGAAATGAATGAGGGAAAACTGGATCCTATCACGTGATTTCCCGGCCAATAAAAATGTAGCGTTAAACGTTTAACGCAACCTTGTTGGAAGTCGCATAAGAAGTATAACTTCAAAAATAATTATCTTTTTGTTTAAACAAAAAACGAAAAACGGGCAACGGATCATTTTCACTTCACGCCGTTCGATTTTATTTATTTTATTATTTAATACAGTTGAAATTTCGAATAAAGATATCATACGATAAAAATTCTTGGCAACGGAACCGGCAAGTCGATCAACAGTTAGTTTATTTATCATTTTGTTTGTCCTTCTTAGATCAGTGGCTCGCAAATGGTGTTTCCAGAATCACGACTTTTATAAACAGTTTTTTTAAAAAAGATTTTGGAAACCTGTAATTACATTTAGATCCAATCAATAATCCATTATTTACTTTATTTCGGTTGCCTTTACGAAATTATTTTAAGTAAAATACCAATGAGAAAGAAATGGCGATTTTTTTTTAAGGAAATATAATTTTTCTAATAATAATGTATCGAAAAAAATGATAAAAAAAATCAAGCTTTAAAGAAATTGCAATAGTTTTTTCCTTAGCGTTTTAGAAATCAAAATAAAATAACTAATTTCGCTAATAAAGAAATGGTCTTCTCTAATAGCGCTTTTCAACGTTTTTTGTAGTTAATTTTTTTCCCCAACGGAAACCATAGTTTCGGGTATTTCATTGATTTTCAACACCAAAACTAAATTAATAGCTAGACTAGATTCATTTCCAGAACTGCGAATTCAACTGTTGGACATAAAACATAATTTAAGGTAATTAAACATAAAACGATGAAACTATTTCATTTCTTTTATATCATTATTTTATTTAACAACCAATAGTTCAGAGATTAATAAGGTTTGAATTCCATGTATCAATTATGTTGAAGAATCTTAATTCGGTAATAACAATATCGTACATAATATCGATACACTGGTAAATGGTAAGAACATTTTACATAGTTACGAAAATAGATAGTGAATCGATAAGTATAGTCTTAAATAGCATCATTCGGAGAAAAAAATTCTGGCAGGAAAAGAAGAATGATAATTCTAATATGTAACCGTTGTTGATCAGACGACCCAATTTTGAGTTTACGACTTCACATGTTCAACTCCGTAACCTTGTAATTTTGAACCCCACCCAGGAGATAAGGGAACTCTTGAATCAAGCAGTGGAGCAAACCAACTTTCGAGGAGGACTCTTTGATGGAACTAACCCGTATTTATGTTACAAGGAGAAGAAAACCTCCCTAGGTTAGCCAAATGGTATGGGCATTCCAGCACATGAGCTGTCTACCACTGAGGATATTTTTACGTTTGTGGTCGGTGCAAGCTGGGAGCAGAATTCATATCAACGGGCCACAGCTGGGATTCAAACCTGGTTCATCTCACTGAGAGGCGAACTCTCTATCATCTGAGCCATCGCGACTCTAATAAATATTTGGTCCAGATAGTGTAATAAAATATTCGCTATACAAAAAAATATTCAGTTCTTGGTTTATAATTATGTAACTTGCACCGTAGGCGATTGTTGCCACAACCCTTCTGGACATGAGTTCAAGAAGTCCTAGTATGACGGATATTGTCCTCGACTCGACTTTGAGAAGGCATGCAACTTTCATCATCGTTTTTTGAACTCATGTTGCACACCCTTCATTCTACGTCTTAGAGTAGGGATGGGCAAACTACGGCCCGTGGGCCAACTGTGGCCAGCCGGAAGGTTTTATCCGCCCCGTGGATAAAATTTTAACTTGCCGATCCATGGAGAATATAAACAAGATTCATTATACATCCATTATTTTGTCTACTTTGTTCAAAGCTATTTTTGATATTTTTTTTAACAAAGTACTGATGACCTTTTTACTTTCTCCATTGGTGGAATTGATGGAAATAGTTAGCACAGACAGCTTCATTGGTAAAATGTTGAAAGCAGAATATCTTTATAGAATAGCCGCAGATTGGCTCCAACGAGCGTATGTCTTTCTCAAGGAGCAGAGATATGGAATCAAACATGGGTGAATAGTGCTTCACATGTGGCAGGCAGCGCATTTTTAGCTCCAAAGGGCGGATTTTTCTGCCGGTGCTAGTTCTAACATTATTTATTGTGCATGGAAAGATTGCACACTATTGTTGTTTCTAAACATGCCAAAGTTAGATTTTTGCAAATCATTACCAAAAGCTAGTTTCCAAAATTTAATATCTCATGCCTAGAAAATCAGTGCTATGTTTGCTTCATCTTATATATGTGAACAAGTGTTTTCAACTATGAACCTTAGAAAAAACAATTTTAGAAGTAGACTAACAGTCAAGCATTTAGCCTCGTTCCTTAAAATAATCACATCTCACTTCGATCCTCAATATACTTTTAAAAATGAAATCGTAATTTCATTCATCTCATTAAATATTTAAATTAAAACTTGTATATCGTTTTTTTATTTTTATTTTAAAAGTTTTTACTCGGCCCACCAAATCTTTTTTTCTCGATTTTTTGCCCTCGACCAAAAAAGTTCACCCATACCTGTCTTAGAGGCTCTCGATGGGTTTCCAGGTCTGGGCTCTTGATAGATTAGTCCATTCAGACAATCCCATTGTCACCCTATTAATCCATGGTCGACCTCGAAGCATTATAGCTAACATTGTCGTCCTGTGAATAACACGGGTTCGAACCTTAAAACAACCACTACGCAGGAAGCCTATTGCTATCCACGTTAATGCATTTGGTGTGAGTGTTTAGCTTACCATAAGCTTAAATTAAGTGTCCCTACCTGTACCAGAGGAAACACTCTAAACCACAATTTTACCNTGCTGAAAATGATTTTGTGAATTAATATGTAAAACCAGTAGGGTTGTTTTTAAAAAAATATAAAATTTAGTCCATAATACATATACTCTCTTCTCTCTCTATAGGCAAAGCATTAGGTATTATATTTGAAATTAATTATTGCCACAACAAGCATTGTTGCTTCTAGTAAAATAGAAGAGAATAATTTTTAAAATTGGTCTTAGATTAGGGTCCTTGAAAATTTTGTTGAGGTCCTTGAAAAGTCCTGGAAAGTCCTTGAATTTCAATCTCATCATAGAGTGGGAACCCTGTAACTGTTCTCAATAAAAGGTTTCTTGCATAAAAAGATACATTCTCTAAATAAATGTTTCCTCTGCATTAGTAACAAATTACATAATTATTATGTGTATTTTTTTCATTGGTTTCCCCATTCTGTTTGATAGGTAATGCCATTTTCAACTGCTTGCAGTACTCCTTTGTCCAACTTTGAATCTGGTCAGAATTACAAAGAAGTCGTTGACCCCGCTGGTAAGATTTTATTTATTTTCCACGCTATTCATAGCTGAAAGAGTTAACCCATCATTTAGACTTTTATTATATGTTTACCAGAATAACATGGCAAGTATAAAAAAGTTATATCTATGTATAAGGTTAAAAAGGGCACACCATATATTATAAATGTATACAACCAAAATAAAAAGGAAATGTGATTTATTCTAATTTTTGAAATATTTTGGACTGCATTGTTTTAGACTCAAATATATAAAAATGAAAAGTAATCGATTGATTTGTATGCGTTTGCATGAAAAAAAAAGCTGTATTGGTGACTTTTTAATAGATTTATTAATTTTTTTCTATATATTTCAGATGCTTTTTTGTTACATTTACATCTTTTGTGCAAGATAATTTTATTCAAAGTCTTGCATGACAAATAAAATTTCAGCAAATACTACTTGAGACTAATAGCGTTAGCCAATTTATTATTTTGAAACACTAACTATACAACTACAATTAAAATTGCTTAAAATTAGTGCTTAATACTAGTTATAGAAATTAAAATGTAATATTGCTCTACTGAAAACGTGTTATTCATTTAAGAAGGGCATTAGTTCCCATTACTTTATGAATTTCAAATCTAGTAAAAGAGGTTCACCGTGAGGAAAAGTTTGAGTTGTTTTTTTATCTTTTGTATCAGTTATGAGTTGTTAAAATCTAAATTCAGAAACATTGGACTGACCTAACCTTTAGTGAGAGTTATCTAGTGTAGTAAGATGTTTGCAATTTGCACACATGCACGCACGTACATACACACATACATGCATGCATACATACATTTATTGTACATACATGCATACATACATGCATACATTTTTATACATACATGCATACATTTTTTTAAGGAGAAAGGGTTTTCTGCAATTTATTTTCTTTACTTCTTTGTGATCTTATTTTATTTCTTAGTAATTATCATTTTTTTAAAAAATATTTTAATAATATAAGAATGATTTAAAATTATTATTGAACTATATATGAATTATTATTAATCATGAAAATAAACTTCTTAAGGCAAGAATAATACTTTATTGTTTTTTACTCTCTAATTTTTGCACACATAAAATTCCATTTTGTGACCTTCATGTTTCTCTGCTCATCATACTCAGTTTTTATTACGTTATTCTGCAAGAAATTAGTGTATCCTGTAATTTGAACAATTAATTATTCATTTATTGAAGCATTTTTAATAACTTTTCTATGTTAGAGAAGTGTTGCATGTTTTATGCCCTTCAATAAAAGAATTGATTAAAAATCTTCACTATTATGGTATTTATATTTTTTAAAAGCTATGAATGCTGTTATTTATAGCAATTTATTTTATAGTGATAGTCAATTTCCCACTTGATAAAAGTCCTGATGTTTCTATTATTGCCTGGACTACTACGCCATGGACTCTTCCTAGTAATCTGTCTGTCTGTGTACACCCAGACCTAGATTATGTCAAGCTTAAAGGTGATAAACATTTATTTTCATTTTTAGTGCTTCAATAGTCATGCAGTATTCCTACACCCATTTATATTTTTCTGTCTAAAGCTGTTTTTCCAAAAGAACTGGCTTTTGATTTGTTTATACAGCTTGTCAAATATTATGTAATGGATTGAGTTGTTTGTTTTGTTGCCTATTGTTAATATTTCTAGGATTTTAAAAAGGTTGAAAAATAATTAAGCGAATAAAATTGATTTATAATGTCACAGTTAAAATGTGTGTTTGCAAATCAAGCACATAAATAATTACTATCAATGTATCTTTTGCTTAATTTAACTCTTATTTTAAATATGCAATATTTCAGCTATTTGTTTTTTGTTATTATTCATTTTCCATGTCTTTTCACAATTCCCCTTTTTTTGTTAGATTATTTTTTCGAGGCAATTTATAAATTGCATATGCAGGAGCATTTTATATATCTGTAAAGCATCATAAACTTATGTAATTTTAGTTGTACTTTTTGACATAAAATGTTTAAGTACTTAATGTTTCTTATTTATTTATTTATTATTATTATTATAATTTTTTTAAAAATTTTCTTGTATTATATCCGTACGTTATATACAGTTTCTAATTTTTTCCACAAAAAAAATGTTTAAGTATTCTTTTTGCTAATTTTTTTTATTGCATCACACTTATTATATTGTCAATAATGCTATGTCTTTTTTTTAAAGTTTTTCTTAAAAAGTCGTTAAGCAAAATATTGAAGAAAAGTGTTCAGATCTTTCGATTTAATATTTAATTTATGTGTGTATAGCAAATATTTTGTTAAGTATAATTGTAAGAAACCTTTTTTAAAGCTTAAATATTTTTAGTTTTCAGCTTTTCATTTATTAGATCTCAACATTTTATAAATTGCTTATTTATTCATTTTTTTTTTAAATAAAGATTTTTTTAAAGCAGGATTTTTTTAATCGAGATTTTTTTGTTGATTACTTTGATATTTTGTATTTTTGTTTGAAATTAATGATCTATTCAGAATCTTATTGAAAAATAATTTTGTATATCTAGTTAACCTAAGTTAAAAATTTGGTGTAATCTTATTGCAAATGCAGCATATAAAATTTGGTGTAATCTTATATAAAATGCAGCATATAAGTGTAACTGTTATGAATCTGCAAAAATTTTAAAATTTAAATTTGTTTGTTCAGAGGAAATTTTTAAGTTGGTTCAGTTATTGAAGTATACTTAAAAATCTTGCTTGCAATATAGGAGAGTTTTAAAGTATTGAAAATATATTTGGAAAATTTTTCTTAATTCCATTTTATTTTTATATAGTATTGTATTGAATGAAGTTTACTATAACTTACGGAAATAAAATTAAATTTTTAATTAAAAGCTTTGATTAAAAAAAAATAAATTAGGATCTTTTGTTAAAAGTTTTTTCTTTGGAGTCCCTTGGGTCGTAATTTTAAATTTTTAGAACTAACATACTCTCCAGCAATCACAAGTACTCCCCCAGACACCAAACTTACAGGATGACTGTTACTGTAATTATGAAGATAAGTGATAGTCACTTTAAATGGGGGTGTTTGGATAATTTTTTTTCCATTGGTTTGAGTTGCGAGAGTCGTATTATTTCCTCAACTGTCCTGATTTTCAATTGACATGACAAACAAGACTTTCAGTCAGAAGGAGTTCTCATGAATGGTGGGTGATTGTCCCATAAGTAACTTTTAAAAATATTTGTTTTTATTTATGATCATTATTATTTGCAATTCAATTTTCTATGTTACTGTTTTGTTGTAGACAATGCCACTGGTAAACTGTATATAATGATGGAAGCAAGACTGGAAGCTTTATATAAAAAGCCTGAGGACTATACAATTCTTGAGAGGTCAGTATGCATTGCCTTAGTTTTTCTGTTCTTTTCAAGGGTTAAATGAAGTAAAAAAAAAAAAAAAATCGATTTTGAAATAGAAAAAAAATACAGTTAATCTATGGTTTGTTATCATCCTGAGGATTAATTATGTATTTATAGAAACAATTGTATTATAACATTACAAATGAAAGATGTAATAATTGAAGATAAATTATGTTGCCTAATATAACATCCAGTATTTAAAACTCTTATTTTTCGTGATTTTTTAAATTAAGTTCAACTAAATAGGTATTTATTTATAAATTTTTTGTTTTGTTTTTGTATTTTAAAGTAATTTTATGTGTTTTAAATAATTCAAAGAATTATAATTTGGAATGCTTTTGTTAATATTCAGATGTATTTCTGAGCTGTTCTAGTTCCTAAGATTAAGCAGTTCGGTGACATGTGTTGCATGGCTTAAAGCATAATTCGAATGATATTTTTTTAATGCTGAAATAAAAACTGTTGTAGTAGTTTAAGCAACATTTGTTCCACATTGCACAATTCAATTTATCACCCTACAATATTATGGCTTAATTTATTTTTGTGCTATATTCTTTCCCTTTTCTAGGAAGGGTCCAAATTTTCTGTACATTTTCCTAAAATGTTTAAAATACTTAATACTTTAATTAAATTGTTTGCTTCAACATGAGTTAAAAAGATTTATGATTGACTATCAATTTTTCATTAATTAAAGCATTTTTATTTTAAAAAAATTTTCTGTTAAAATTTTAAACAAATTTTTGCATATCATGCATTACTTAGCATGCTTACACTGGTTTATCCGATATACATGTTGTTCCAACTGTTAAATAAAGGATAAGCATCATGTATGCTGGGTTGCTATGTGACTGTTTCATATTATTTTCTGCTATTTTCATGTTGTTCTGTTTAGCCTCCATGTGCAATTCCATTAGCATCCATTTGTGATTCCATTGGCGCTATGTTTTTTTAGCACCTATTAGAATAGCTGTGCTGAACTGTTTATTTCAATATAGTGATTGTAATTTAGTAAAAGGATTTAAATACTTCAAGAAATTATTTAAACCATTATTTCTTTTGGTCTTACATTAAATCTGGAACATATTGAATTCCCTTTGAATGAATTAAGAATGGCAAGACACCCTAAATTCTTATCCCAGTTGGTCATGATCTGTGTTCAAAAAGTTAGTCTATTAAAGATTCACATTATTAACCAAAAGTGCATTTTATACTCTCATTTAAAAAAATAGGCAGTGTGTGTGTATTCATTAGTTTTAAAGGGGCACTGAGAATCTGCACACATTGGCATTTCTTATCAAAATCTCAAAACATAAATTCTATTTGTTTAAAAATTTCATCCACTCTTTTCGTAAAATGTATGATTTTTTAAATTTATTTTTAAATTAAAATGACGTGTTTTTCACAGTTATTTAGAAATATATCATTTTATTGAAAAAGACTGCTTCTAACTTACATATTATTTTTAATGCATTTTACATCTATGGAATATTATTGAGAAGAATACATTGGTGCATATGTTAGCATTATGAAGTTATGTTATTATCTATTATTATGTTAGTTACTTAATTCATATTTAGGTAAAGCATTGCTTTGTTACAAGTTAGTCTTGTAATTTTTAACTATAATTAAATATTTACTGTATTTTTTCACGTTCATTATATAATGACCTCACATTATAGCATTAAATTTTTCCTGGATGACAAGTATGGTTATATCAAGAGTTGACTTTATCAGATGTTAAATATTGATCTTGCATTTCAATCAGTGCATGTGTAAATTTATTAATTAATTTTTTTAATGCAGGTTTAAAGGGAGAACCTTGGAAGGAAATACATATGATCCCTTATTTCCATATTTCAAACATGTAAGCATTCTCTTGATTAAATATTTCAAACTGAATTATCCCTTATGAAATTAAATTATTTACTGTAATTTGTGGAACAAATTATTAACTTTTATTTTTAGTTATCATTTAGCTCTAATATCTTATAAAATTAAACAAGCCTGTTTTGGCTAATTTCAAATTTTTTTTTAGTTTTTATATCCTTTAGATTTTTTGTCTGTGTGTGGAGGGAATTCTTAATCATGATGTGTTTATTCAATTAAATTTACTGTATTTAAGTTAACGAAATTATCTGCTTAAATAGTAATATTGGGGATGAAAGACTTCTGCAAAAAAGTGGAAAATCACTTTTTTCTCCAAATTTTTATAATTTCCAACAATGTACCAAAAACACAATTTTTTTGGAGGGAGGTCCAATTATTACAGACAGGTGCGCCATTGTCTTGACAATTGCAACTTCCACTGTTGAGCAAAAAGGATGAGGTTCTTGGTTGTTGAGTTTTAAACAGTTTTGTTTCAGCCGTCGATATTTAATCCAGGGTATTCCTCTTTGGTGCGACATATATTGAATTTGCGTATCTAAACATTATAGTTCTCTCGACTCCTCTAGTTCTTATTGTAGGCCGTTCCTGTGTTTATCCGTGCACACATTTGTTATTCTTTTATTTGTGTCCTTTTTACATGGTGCATCGTAAGATGAATGTATTTTAGCAATGGAAGTCTATTTAATAAATGAACACAAAGTTCACATGATTGATGCTGCTGAAAAAGTTTTGAAATTTGAAAGTTTAATTGGTTAAAGAAAAAGGGCAAAGTGACTAAAACTGTTAGTAACTATCATTCAGAAGATATTGAGGTGAAAGTTAGTGACTGTTTTAATTTAAAATGTTTGACTGGCAATTAATTTAAAATGATGATTATCAAGCCTTATATATTGCTTTAATATAGTAGTGGTCAAGGACGTTTAAAATTATATTTAAGAAAAATTTAAATTTCATTGATTAAATGCTTCTTCCACTTTTAATATAAAATAAAAATCTCAGGGCAGAGTTGAAAGTTATGTTTTTATATATCTTGTTGATATCACAATATTACATGGAACACTCCTTCCGCCCCCAGTGTCTGCAGTGTAAAAGTTCAGCTTTTTTTTAAATTTTTGTCCACTTTCATGCCTGTAATATGTATTATTTCTCATAAAAAATGCTAAGATAGCAAATATATTTATTTGGTGAATCTTTTCATTTGTTGATATTTTGTTTAATGTAGTTAAAAGTGTGTCAATATATATTAACATATTGTGTATTGAATAATTGACATTTGAATATCTACACAACTTTATGGCTCTAACTTTTTTTTTGTTTTTTAGTTAAAAGCAAAAGGAGCATTTAGAGTTGTTTGTGATACTTATGTAACTGAAGAAAGTGGTACTGGTGTTGTACATCAAGCTCCATATTTCGGAGAAGTGAGTATATTATTTTATAGACGGAATTTATTTTAATTTTCAGTCAGTGGACAAACCTTTTGCTATTAAATTTTATGTTTATTTAATGGTGAATAAAATATATTAAATTTGTTGTACACAAAATTTTTAATTTTATGTAAATGTAGTGTTTGCTGTTTTTCTAAGTTTGTTCTCAAAAGGTAAATTTAAGTGTAATCTATTATAAAACTTAAGCTAAGGTACTCATTGGTAGAGATAATTTTAATAAAAAAGTCTTATTATTAACTGCAGTCTTCTCCCCATAGCAAAACCGGTTTTCTTTGTATTTAGATAGAGAAATAGTGTATTGGGAAGAAACATTCTCCCAATTTTATTCATTTGCTGTATCGCCAGTAGGTTAATATTTTTTAAATTAACTTAATGTATGCCCATTAACATGCTTGCAGCCACAGAACCAGAAATCAGGTAAAAGTAGGGGATTTTGTCAATCTGGAAGGAAATTTTGTTCATATAAGCTAAAATCAGAGAAAGAGGCTCTCCTATTGTGTCCCAGGCATGCAAAAGTCCCAATATCCCCCCCCCCCAGAAAAAAAAATTGGTATTGTGCTATTGAAAGAACGAGTTTTCAATTAGAAAACAATATTTTCTCACAAATGTTTATGCTAACTTATAATATTAAATAGCACGTTACAAAGCTGATTTTACAATTATCGCCGCTGTATCTTAAATAGTTGCAGAAATAAAGAAACAAATGATTTTTAAAAAAAATTTGTTTTTTTGTCCACATAATTTCTTTATTGTATTTCCATGTATTCAGGTAATTTTTTTTAAATATATTCTTAGTTATTTTTTTTTTAAAAATATTTTTTCTTAAAAAAAATCGCTATTTTTTATTTTGTAACACGAAAAGTGCTTTTAGTATATTTTATGTACATGAATAAAACAGAACTGGAAAATTACTACTAATGAAATTTTTACCATCTGTTACAAAAATTAGATTAGATAAAAATTAGAAATTCAGGTTTTTTTCTGTATTGGTTAATTTTTCCATCCATCCCATGCCTGCTACCATGCAATTGTAATTTAATGATAGTTTATTTTTAATGTTTTGTCCATTAAGACTATAAGTACACAAATTACTAAGACCCTATCTCTTTTGCGTATGTTTCAAATTTCCATTTTTCTAAGATAGATAATAATTGAATGACAAATGAATTAAATTTTCAGTAATTTATGTTTATTATATAAAAACAGATTTTATAATTATTTTTTATTTATTTTATAGGATGATTATAGAATATGTCTTAAATATGGAATCATTACCAAAGATCAAGAAATAATATGCCCGTTAGATTTCAGTGGAAAGTTTGTTGATCCAGTGACAGATTTCAAAGATCAATATGTTAAAGTAATTAATTTTCTTACAAACATTATTGTAACTTTTTATTTACTGTTGAAATTCTAATTTTAATATATAATGAATTATATTAAATTAAGGTAATTATGTTTTATTGTTAAATAACTGGTAATCCAATATAATAGTTTGTCTTTAGCTGATCTATTTAGTTTATAGCATGAATACCTGACTGCTTTATTGAATGATTGCTTGTATTTAAAGATAATTTAAAAGATTTCAGAATTAATTGCAATCTTTATTTTTTTTTTTAGTTAGTCTCATATGAGTACAGACGCTTTTTGAATAAGTTTTTACTTTAATAGAGATAGAGACTGAAATTTTATTTTTGTTTTCTAATAAAATATATATAATAAAATGCTCAAACTTAATTGTATAACTGTTAGCCTTTTTTTATTAGCAACATGCAAAATCTTTAAAATTAATAATTAAAATAATCTTCCCAGGGATTTATAAGTAGGAAAAATTAGAAATCATTAAGTACCAAATTTTGGATTTTTAGTGCAGCCTCTCTCAATCCGCAATGTATGTCCAGAAAACTTCAAAATCATTTTTCTTAAAGCTATATCTCTCTAGTCTGCTTAGTTTGTTAACTCAAATACATTTCATTGATTGATAGCACATTGAGCTCAGAACATCAGTTAAAATTACGTTCTTTTCAAAAGCATATAAAATTGAATCAAAAGAAATTTTGTTTTTTGTATAGATCTATAACTATTCTCATGAGCAAAACATTCCCTTAGTAGTTTGTTATAGGACTGGGGTTTATAGAGATTCAATCTCCACAATTTTCTGATTGATCAAATGATTGTTTCTACATGGTCAGTATTGTGCTTAAGCCACTTTTACTTCCCAGACAATCTCGTACTTATCAATCTGAAGATAACTATTCTCATATATAATTAAAATAAATTTTGTTTTTCACCTACTGCTCTAAGTATTCTATACCTGGAACATTTTTATTCGATTATTCAGAGTGGTAGCGAATTTTGTGATTTAACATTTTATTATTGATTTGATTTTTATTTAGAATGATTTTGTCTATCACTGCGTAAAGTGAAACAACTTACATATAAGTATTTAAAGTCAATTATGCAGAGAAGTTTATGTAAGTGTAGGCAAAATTAAACAAATTAAGTTAATCTTAAATTGTTATTTGGCTACTGCTTTGAGCATTCAAGGAAAGTAGGTAGGTACTTTATTTATGTTGTGCTGGAGCTGCACATAGGGCTATTGGCGACCATCTGGGAAACATTCCTAAGATTGATCCGAAGACACGCCATCATAATTTTGCCTTCTGCAGACGAGATGTGCTCTTCCCCTTTGGTAGTTGAACAACCTGTGCTAGGAAGCTAGGACTTCCAGAAGCTATGAACTAATCTTATATAATATTCAAAATGAATTTTGTTTTTCATCCTGTCTTAAAGATTATATCAGGTTAGAAGAAGATTTCTACCATTGCGTAAATAATGTGCTTAAATATATCAATTAGCTATTTAAATATTTGCACCTATATCTTAAGATTGAAATTTTTTTAATCTTTTTTAAGTGACGATTCTTTTTCTTCTATTCTTGTAATCTAGCCGATTATCATAATTTAGTTTTTTATGTGTGGGCTTTTGAAAGTTAATTTTTTGCATTTAATGATAGGATGCTGATAAAAATATCGTAAAGTACTTAAAGAGCAAGGGGAGGTTGGTCCACCAGTCTACTACAAAACACAGCTACCCATTTTGTTGGAGATCTGATACTCCTCTCATTTATCGTGCAGTACCATCTTGGTTCATTAGAGTAGAACATATGACTGAAACTTTATTGAAGGCAAACAAGGAAACATATTGGTATGGTACTGTTTTAATATTTGTTTTTTAAAGATGTAATTGTATTTTATATTAATGTTGCAAAATTTGATCATTTGTTGTTGACTTAAATAACATTATTGAGAAATGAAAGTTTGCTTGTTAGGTTCAAAAATATGTATTTGTTTTTGAACTACGCAAGAAACTCATTATTCAAAAACATCATTATCCTCATTTTTATGTAATGTAATGACCCTTGTTATGTAACATCATATTTTAAAATTAACCCTCATTCAATATTTCACAAAAACTTGATTTTAAAAACATTTGTTCATCAAAATTCCAGTAAATATATTTGCAAAGCAATTACAAATTTTTGTATTTACAAAGCAATTACAAATTTTTGCTTTCATGGTTTGATCTTATACATATTTGAAGATAAATTTTGAACAAATATTTAGAATAGCCACTTATTTGTTTTACGAATTGATTTTATTCTTCCTCGTATTCATAAAAATCACCCTAATGTATATAACAAATAGCAATTAAAGTTTTGTAATTCTTTGATCAAAAAATTATAATAATCTAACTTAATTAACATGATCTTAACGATAAACAAATTTTAATGTTGCATATATCATAGGGTTCCAGATTTTGTCAAAGAAAAAAGATTTGCCAACTGGTTAAGAGATGCTCGTGATTGGGCAGTTTCTAGAAACAGATATTGGGGAACACCAATTCCTTTATGGGTCAGTGATGATGGAGAAGAAGTAAGTTTTTACTGTTAATTACTTGCTTAGCGTATTCAATCAGCTTTGTGAAAGAAAGTATCAACAAACTATAAAAGTGTGAAGTTTATAGATTTCATTTAAAAACTTATGTCTTGCTTGGCTGTATTTATAGAACTAAATTTTATTTTGCATCAATATAAAATGACAGAAAGATGCCTTTTGTAAGCAAACTCTTGCTGTTTTCTATTCTCTCCTAAATTTATTAAAATGTCACTTAGAGTAATGTCACTTATTTGTAAGTAGACTTATTTATGTAATTTCAATTAGTAGTTCTTTTATTTCAGAGTTTTTTGTCTCTACTTAACCATCTACTAGGTTAATAATTATATTAATTGAATAATTAATTTCCTCTCAACAGAGGAATGATTTATGGGTGAGAAAGTTGAATGGTCATGTCAAAGAGTTAATTTTGGATTGAAAATAAGTGGGTGTATGTGTGTATTTGGATTAGTATGTGTATATATATTTTATAGTCTGTATTTGAATTAATGTTATTTATTATATATTTTGCATCAATGTATTGAAAAAAGGTACCATGATAAAGATCCACTACACGCCAGAATTGTACACTTACTATACCCATATTCAATCATTTTACTTTTTTGTAGATCCCAAGCATAATTATCAATAACAAATCATACATAGAATTTATCATTCTAAAGATTTCAATTTGACTAATTTTTTATTGTAGATAGTTTAAGCTTGTTATAATGTGAAATAAATAGTGTATAAAACATACCCAAAGGAAAAGAAATATTAAAATCAGTATAATTCTTTTTCATAAAATATTTCTTTTTTATTTTCAGGTTGTAATTAAATTTTGTCAAAATTTTAAAGCGGCATTAAACAGGCTTAAATTACTGAACAACCTTTATGTATACTGGAAGTATTATAAGGCATATGGTTAACTGTTTATGCGGCTGTAAATTTGCTTGTCTTAATGTTTTTACTTTATGCACATTTATTAATGCTTCCCCAGTGGATTGCTTGATTTAAAAATAGTTTATGCAGAATTTTTAGGTTTTGTAATCAGAAATATTTGACTTAAAAAAAAATCAAACGCCTGTTTGAATTAAAAAAATGTCATTTTTTATAATGCTAGAATTAAAAAAAAGGTAAGGAAATCAACGAAAAGCATATCTTTGTAATCAGACTGCATGGATTGAATGCTACTTGGTAACCATCCTTTTATCATTGCTTCTGGGATAAGTGTGACCACTTAGTGAGGGAAAAGTTTGCAATTCTTTTTCATTACTTCAGTAAGCACAGGCTGATCTCTGCTTCTCTAAGCAGGTTCTTTTGGTTTAATGGTCTCTCCCTATGACCTGACTGTACCTGATAAATAGCAATTTTTATGGAATTTAACACTTTTAATTCAAAAATTTTTGAATCTTAAAGATCCAAAATTAGTTTTTTAAAAAATATATTTTCCTGCTTATAATTAGAGAATTTAATAATTATGTGCAATAATTGTCTGGATTGGATAATTAGTTGCACATAAATGGATTAAAATTGCAGAAAAAAAGAAGGGAAAAAATATACAAAGAATATTTTTTTTTGATATTTTCAGCAGAAATTATTATCCTTAAAATTGTTTAAACTTTTGATGGAAAATTTCATCACACCATCAGTTAAAGTAACTAATGAATTAAAATTGCACTATTGCATTGCTAAAATTGAAAAGCAATTTTATTTTGCTTTAAAAAAAGGAAATAGTTAGATTGATTTTGATGGGTAATTTTAGTTTTTCATTTAATTTCTTTACTTTTTTAAAAAACTGCTTAACTATGTTTTATGTACCATTAATGAAACTTTCAAATTCATAATATGTTGAATTAGCGTATTAAAATGTGAAATATTTCATCTTGTCTTTGGTAGATAGTGTGTGTAGGGTCTATTGAAGAACTTGAGCAACTCACCAACACTAAAGTTACTGATCTTCATAGAGAACAGTAAGTACCTTTGCTTTTGAGGTGCATTTAGTTTTAAAATTTATATTGATGTATTTAAAAATCCTTGTGTTATATTTTTAGTGTTGATCAGCTGACCATTCCATCTTCTCGTGGAAAGGGAGTTTTAAAACGAGTAACAGAGGTTTTTGATTGCTGGTTTGAAAGCGGTAGTATGCCATACGCTCAAGTTCACTACCCTTTTGAAAATGCTAAAGAATTTAATGACATATTCCCTGCAGATTTTATTGCAGAAGGAGTTGATCAAACTAGAGGCTGGTAATATATATGAATATTTCTATTTTCATTGCTGTTTGTATTCTTTTAAAAGTTTTAGCTCTATGGTTACATCACAGAGAATAAATGAAAAATCTAAATCAAAACCGGAAAGTTATCAGGTTAATGTGGTAAATCGATATAAAAAGTGCACAAGCAGTCAATTTAAAACAATACTATGCAAGTTCTGTCTTAAATATAGTTTAATTTAGTACAATTTTCCAATTATGGTACATTTGTGTTTCTTAAATGCTGCCATAGCTTCCAACTCTACTGAGTTTCTCCATTTTCTCTTAGTCTAATTAAAAATTTTAGTTTTCAGAATTTGATGTATTTTTTTGCTCTTTTTTCTTGTGTAAGCACTTAAATGAGTAATGCGACTGCATTAAAGAATTGTGCCTCAAGTAAAAAGTACTTTTTAAAATAGTGCCTTTTTTCTTTAGTAATCACTTTAAATAATTTTAAACTCAGTAATTTTTATTTTGAATTTAAAAACTATTAATTTCTAAATAATGAAGAAACAGTTTTTTTTGTTATTATGATTTTATTAACAAAATTTACTATAAGTTAAAAAATAATACATACTATTTTCAAACATTTATGGGCAAAAACCCATTGATTCACTCCAAAAATATTTTTAGAATTTTGTCTATGTAGAAATTTCTAAGAAATTAAGAAAGAAATTTGACTTAAGAATGAAGGCAAATGTAGTATTTGAATATTCCCTGAATACCAGGGTTATAGATTTTGGAAGGTGAAATAAAAAAAAAAAAAATTTCTATATATAACCATAACCAATTGGCAAAACTAAGAGAGTTTGTATTGGTTTATTAAATAATCAACTAAACGCAAAACATCTTGTAAAATTTTTTCCCCATCTTTGGCTTTGTTGTTATTTCTAAACTCATATTTGCTACTTCTTTTCTTAAAATCTCAGCCTTTCGAAGCGTTCAAGGTGGATCCAATTAATGTAATTTACTAAAAGAATAGTAAAGTAAGAAAAAATACTTCATTTGCAAATGATCTGCACCTTGCTGTTTTTTCCCTCTATTTTAATATATTATTGATAGAGAAGTCGCAGGATATTAATGTTGATTCAAAGTTCATTGTGCTTGGCTTTAAATTGATTTGTTAAAATTTGTATCATAATTTCAATGTGTGTGTAACCAACTATACTCTTTGTTTCAGGTTTTATACACTTTTGGTGATATCTACAGCTTTACATGGAAAAGCACCATTTAAAAATTTGATTGTGAATGGTCTGGTCTTAGCTAGGTAATTAAATTTTATTCTTGTCACTGGATTTTTTAAAATTTTTTTAAAAAGTAATCATTTAGCTTTTTTTTAAGTTTTTTTTAAAAGGTAATCATAAATAAAGATGTGGGAATGGCACTCTAGTTGATTGTTTATTAATATTACCGTTTCTTAAAATGAACTTGCCTCGGCATCATATTAAGTCCTATGCATATTCTTTAACTACAATTCAGTTCAAAAATTACTCTGAAAAAGACATAATATCAATAATACCTGGTTAAAAAAAGTTTTTTTTTCCTATGTTGTTTTTAAAACTAAAATCTTTAGTTCATGTATGTTTACCGAAATTTGTTTCCGTTCCATGTCTGTTTGATTTGAATGGAATATTTACTGAATAATAATAGTTAATTGTAAATTTCCTTCACACTTGAAATGCTTTGTAATATATTAGATTTTCTTTTTATTTTAGTGATGGACAAAAGATGAGCAAGAGGAAAAAGAATTATCCTGATCCTATGGATGTTGTTAACAAGTTTGGTGCTGATTCTCTTAGGTAGGCTGTTATTGTAATTTAAATTACTTTTGCTACATTTATATACTATATTTTCTAATAGTAACACCTTTGTTGTGATTTTTGTTGCAGAACATATTTGGAGTATTTAATTCTTAAGTTTTAAAAATTCAAAAGTAAATAAATAGTTATTAATAATGCTGCATAAGGACTATTTAACAACTTAAACTGAGTTTTTAAGCTATAATATATTAATTACTTGTCTTAATATACTGTTTTGCTTTAAAAAAAATATAATTCATGCCAGTAACCATTATAAGTGTAGTCATCTACCAAAATCTTATATATTAAATCTTGAGTAAAGCTGTTTTTTTATTTATTTTTATAAATATTCCTTAAACATTCCTAAATGAAAAATAAAATAAAATAAATAAACCTTTAAAAGTGGAAAAATGTTTGATCCCCAGTCACCTTAGTGATTTTTTATTTTATAAATGCCCTTTTAATTTTATATATCATTCTATTTCAATCTGCTTCTGTACAGAAGATCTAAAATTCTGTAACTCCCTTTTCATAAAACACTTTTTAATCAATAAATTGGCAAATTGTGCAACATAGAATGAGTGATGTGCACTATAAATAACTCAACTTACGAAATGTCAAAACTTTTTTGATTACTGACCTTTTGAACTAATTTAATTCATTGGTTTCATGTGATGTCATTACATGTTTTATATTAGCTTTCAATTAAAAAAAAAAAGAATAAATTGCAATTTGTAATAACAAATTTTGAATAAAAATTCAATAATTAAAATAAATATGTAATTTATGATTGAAATAAAAATGTAAATTTTATTTTATTTATAAATTAAAAAACCTGGTGGAGAAAAATCAGAATTTATCAATTTTTAATTACAATCTTCAGGAATATCAGAACTGCATTGCATTATCAAATGTTTTTTTATTTTCTTCAAACAGTTTTTTTAATTTTTTATTTGATGAAAAATTCTGTTGAACATAATTAGTTTCCCCATTTCTCAAGGCATATTTTAAAAGAATTTTCAGTTCAATGAAAAGATTTTGATAAAAATATATTACAAAATAATATTTTTTATAACAAGTGAAAGTTAATTATTAAAAATTTATTTGACACTAAATCATTTGTTTATGCGGGAAGAAATTCAGGTCTCTTGTATGAAGTTAACACTGATTGAACTTTTTAAACTCTTTAAATTTGATGATCATTTCAACAATTAAAGCTATTTAGATGAACTCCACTGGTTCTGTGTTATGGAACTCACCCATTTATTAATAATAAAATATACATTATTTAAATATACATTTATATTAATCTAAAGCTTTTTAAAGATACTTTGTTTTGAAGTCAGTGTTTTCACTGCAGCGCGAGAACGCGAGAATCTCGCATCTTTTTTTCTTTTCTCGCAATAAAAAATGATTACCGCGAGAAATTCGCGCATTCTATTAATCAATTTCAAAATTCGCCAATTTCTCGCATTTTGGAAAAAGCTTCGAATTACGCATTTAGAATAAAATCCGTTTCACTTTTCTTCCTGGATCTTACATTATTTTCAACATCTGCCCCATTATCTAGCCTCCCTATTTACCAGTATTGTTCAGAAACTTTTCGAACAACAGAACACAACCACGGAACCCCTTTCAGAACACATTTCTCTGCAACCACGTGTTTACCGTAGGTAAGGTTTCTTCATGTAAGACGTTCAAATTTTTTATGCACTTATGTAAGATGGACAAATACCTTGTAAAGGCAAAATCTTCTATGATGATGCACCAAAAATATTCAATGCTTTAANCTTTTATCTGTTTAGAAATCTCTCTTAACTTTTTGAAATCTCACCCTGTTTTTGAGAAAGGGTGAGAAATTGCCACCCATTTTTTTTCTATGATGAAAACACTGGAAGTTATTTAAAGCCTTATGCTTACAAGTTGATTTGTTACTTATTTACTTTGTTACTGATATTACCGTATTAGGCCATGACCTCCCTAACAATTTTATTCCAAAGCCGTGTGTGTCATGCTTTTACTTGCTTTTTTTAAGATCTTGAGGTTTCTCTCAACCTCATCAATTCATTTCTTCTGTGGTCTTTTTTTGTGTGCTTGCTGTCTCACATTTTTTTTATGTGCCCTAACCCCTGTTTTCTCTTTAAGATCATAAATATTCTTTTTTTTTTTAAACATCTTTTGAAATTTCATGGTTAAATCTCTTTCAACACACAATACCCTCTCTGACTGTGCCAAAAACAGTTCTTAAAATTTTTGATTTGTTCCTGATATTTATTTACTCTTTTTCTTTTGAATTACAGGCTTTATTTAATCAATTCCCCTGTTGTTCGAGCAGAAACACTAAGGTTCAAAGAGGAAGGTGTCCGAGACGTTTTAAAAGATGTCTTTTTGCCGTGGTATAATTCTTATCGATTTTTAGTGCAGAATATCCATATGTATGAAAAGGTAAATTTGTCTTCATTTTAGTTTGTTGAAAATAACATACAGTATGTTATGTAATTAAAGACTCATTTCATGCATTTTTATTTACTTGTACTTTCTCTTTCTTGTTATTTAGAATTGGGATACCAAATTCATATATTCTGAAGATTCATATAATGAGAAAAACTATCAAGATAAGACTCAAAATATAATGGATTGTTGGATATTGTCATTTACTCAAAGTCTTGTGGATTTTGTGAAGAAGGAAATGAAAGGTTTGTTAATTAATCTTTTTAGAATTAATATACTTTTGTAGGTTATACAGTTAATAAAAACTTAAACGTTTTATGTAAAAAAAATTTTTAAAAATGTTTTTCATCTTTTATAGATAAAAAAAATATAAAACTATTGTTTTGAATTAGGCATCTGTATTTTTTCTCTGTTTTCCAAATTTTGACATAATCCGATTTCCAAAATGAAAATAATTGAAAGTAATCTATCACAATAAAAATAAAAGAGTTTATAATCTATGATAAGTAATTGAACTCCATAAAGCAATTTTGCTGAAATTTGGACGTCTACAGGAGGCAATTTTATTACCAGTCCTATAATTCTTTCATAATTTACAATTAGTTTGTTTGATAGAGCCATTTGAAGAATGGAATTTTCTTATTTCTATAGCAATTGTTTTAGATTCAACTATTGGTGATTTCATACTTTCAAAGATTTTAAGCATAAAATCAGTTATGTTTCCTAGCTTATAACTCTTATTTTATCAAAAAAGGAGTATATTGTTCTTTCATTCGTTATGTCTGATAAACTCAGCGAAAAAATTGGAACTTGATAGCATTGGCTGACTTCTTCACCAAGAAAGCATTTCTATAGTTATCTGAAACCGCATGTTTGAAAACATGTTTATTAAAACTGAATAATTTTAAATAAACTGTAATTGAAATATTGACGCCCGGTGGCTGAGCAGTAGCACTTCGCTCTGTTGTGCCACAGGTCCCTGGTTCGATCCTCAGGCCGGGCAAGGTTGACTCGGCCTTTCATCCCTTCAGTGGGTCGATAAATGAGTACCAAGCATGCTTGGGAACTAAACACTGGGGGTTCCGTGTTTGACTGACCACCTGACCGGAACATCTCCTGCACCCCAGAGCCCAAGGTCAAGAAAACTGAGATGGGCACAGTAGGCCTTGACCCTCTATGGGCTGTCGAGCCACTGAGTTTAGTTTAGTAATTGATATATTAAAAGAAAGTTATATACTGAAAAGTAAAACTAATGAAGAATTGGTATTAATCTATTTAAGAGAGGCTTAAAAGTAGGAAAACGTTGCCAATAATAATAAAGTTCGGTGCTAGATACTAATTGGAATAAGAAAAAATTAGCTATGTACTAAAAAGTAAAATGAATGGAGATTCCAAATAAACTAATATGAGTACCAAGGTACCTTTATGTTGGCATTGTAGTAATAAGTTGTTTACAACCTGCCTAAAGTTATATGTACAGGAGAAAATTGCTTGATAGTTGTAATTTCAGACTATCATGAGTGAGCTTCAATAGTGTCGTGCCAAAGGATACTGAATATAGTGAACTTTTATTTTGATGGGATGAACTTCTAAAAGCATGTTTAGATTAATTAAAACACTATTAATGTTGGCAACTAATAATAATAATTATGAAAATTTGGGATTTATTAATTGTGTTGGTATATGTCTTCTAGATTTTTATCCCATAATTTTGTACTGTTGTTCTGAACTGATTTATTAATCGTTTACCTTTTTCCCCACTTGTAATTATTGTTTTTATAAATTATATTGTATTATAGTATTTAACCCGATTATATTATAAATTATAGCATGCTTCACAAAGATCTATTAAGTTTAATTGTCAAATGTATGTTGACATTGTTTGTTGCTGTAATTAAATGTCTATTTTTTCTTATTTTTTATATGCTTGTAACTTTTATTAAATGTTGGTAACTGAATTAACTAGTTTGCTTATATTAAGACGTTTTATTAAATTTTTATATGATTAAAAGTTATTAGATTTAATTATTCTTTTATACATTAATATTTATTTGCATATTTTAAAGCAGTTTGACTTATTAATTATTGTGAGAACCAAATTAATTGAAGTGAATTTTTAAAATGTCATCTAAAACTTTTAATAAAATTCTATGTATCTTATACTTTTCTTAATACTTTTGTAATTTAATTAATTAATTAATCTTATTGTTAAGTGGTATCCTACAAGCCCTGATTAACTCAAATTTAAAAAAGTGATATAGTGTTTTTAATTTTTTTTACTTCATAATAAAATTGAGAAAAATATTAGTTAATGTACTTATTAAAATTTTATTCAAGTCTCTAGGACCTAGTTTAATGCACATTTCAAATATCAGGCAAACAGATTTACTCCACTCATTATCTGTTTCCGCTTATTATCACTAATTATCAGTAAATTTTTATCACTATTATCACTTCATTTTTATTTAAATTTTCTACTCTAAGCACACTTTATTAATTTTGCTTGTATCTACTCTCATTTGCACTAAAACTAATTATCAACTTTCTAGTTTTAATTAAGAAAAGTAAACAAATATTAATTAGAGGTTATTTCTAAAGGCAGCAAAATTATAAAATTTTAGTTTACCATAAATTTCTTATTGACTTATTGTGCATGCATCGCAATTGTAACATCAATGATAAAGCTTTTTCCTCCCTCTTATATAGCCTATCGATTATATACTGTTGTGCCAAGGTTAGTTAAATTTGTTGATCATCTAACGAATTGGTATGTTCGAATGAATCGGCGAAGATTGAAAGTAATTATTTTGTTTTCATTGTAATTGCCATTTATTCTTTTATTTATTAATAATTTTGAATATTAAAATCAATGTTTATGTAGGGTGATGGAGGAGAAACTGACTGTAAAATTGCTTTGGAAACCTTGTTTTTAGTTCTCTACACTATGATCAGAATGATGGTGAGATATTTTGCAATGGTTTCTAAAATGAGTTGTTTTTTCAATGTTTAATAATTTTCTTTTCCTCTTTCTTTTTATTCATCATTTTTAGCTTATTTGTGGTTTTTTAAATAAATATTTCAATGCAATTTCAGAGCTTACTGATATTTTAAGAAGGCAATTGAATATTGCTTTGTTTATTTTATAATGCTATTAAAAATATAAATATTTGCTATTACATTCAAACTTTTATATCAGAAACAAGAAGAGAGACACTTAAAATGTGGTGTTTTTGAAAATCCAATAAATCGAAAATTTTCAAATTATTTTAATTCAAAGTATTTTTAGTATTTCAGCCAAAATAATTAACTATGTTGAAATTTTGAAAAACAGCATTTTGCAAAAAATAGTCGTTTCTATTATTTATTATTGTCAATTATTAATTAATTATGAATGATTTATTTTCTTTTAAGATGAAAGTTATTTAAAATTGTTTTCTGCAAGTTTTTCTCTCCCCCCCCCCTGTGAATTATGTGCTCCAAATTCGACATAACTCAAAATAAAAGTGTCTATTGCCGTTGAGAAAAATTTGTTAAACATCATTTTTTTAATATATTATTGCAGAAATTTATGAAAATCCATGAATTTGAAATAAAAGAGTATTTAAGAGTGGTAAATTTTTAAGGTAATCTTGAAATTAGGTTTTGTCATATTTTCTAAAGATCAAAATCGCTTTTGATTAAATTCCATGTCTCTGATACATATTACACAAGTGGTTGGATTACCCCTATATGCATAATTTTAAGTTTTATATGTATTTGTATGTATACATATGCAATTGACTAATATAAATTTTTTGACGCATTAATTTAGGCACCATTCACTCCTTTCTTCACTGAACTTATGTACCAAAACCTACAGAAAGTACTTGCTGATTATGAAAAAAGTGATAAGCAGAAGAGTATACATTATTTGTATCTACCTGATACAAAGTAAGCATTTAATTTTTATTTATTAGTGTTGTCTAAAAATATACTAAATTGATCTTACTATCTTAAGTCTTTCAAATATTTTTTATTTGCATTAGTAATTTTTTTCTTCATTTTTGGTCATCTTTCTATTTTTTTTCCACTGGCTTATAAACAGCACTTCCTAACCAAAGTTCTGCATAGTTTTAATGTGTAATAAGGACTATCCATTCTTTCCTTCCTTTTTTTGCAGTTAAAAACTTATCCCACTTCCTTCCAGGTATATAATTTGTGCTAAAATTTTCATTGGTTTTCATCAATTTCATTTTCATTGATTCTTGGTTTATTTAATTCAATTTAAAATGGTGTTGTGTACCACTATATAATTCCCTATGACATTAATTGGAATTTAATTTGATCGTCGAACTGAGAACTGATAAATATAACCTTTGATTATTTAAATTATTGTTTAGATAATTGACAAGTTTGTAGAACCTCTAAACCTTTGTAACAAAGTTTTTTTTTAATGATAAACATTAAGAAACACTGTTTTATATTGCAATAAAATATAGTTCCTTTCATATTTGTATTAAGAAATGGAATGTTTGTTTTTCTAAACCATTCATCTGATTGCAATGATATTTGGCACATTGATAGTTTAAAAGAAATATAACTTATTCGAACATTTTCAACATTCGAAGGTTCTACTCCAAACAGCTCGAGTGAGAAGTGTGAAAAGCCAATTTTCTAAGATTAGCATTAGCGTTATTGTTCCCAAACCAAAAAATGTTCAATTTTTGTTTCAATTAACTAAAAGATAATATCAATGTGACTTTTATTAGCTTATAGCTTTATTTTATTAAAAATGAGTTTCATTGGTTCATGAGTTCATACTTATTGTATTTCATGCTTTTAATTATTATTTTTATTTGGTTCTTCACTTTATCTTTATTTGGTAAGCCCTTATTTTTTAGAAGTCACAGATGTAACATTCCTATTTGATTTTATTCTTTAATGTCATATGATAATGAGTCATTAATGATCACACACATCACATTAGTAAATCAAACACTTCCGTACCTTAGACATTTGATGTTGAGCAATTCTATAAAAACTCTGCAACTTTAAGTGTGTTTAATTTTTAAACTAAATAATGCTTTTTTTTCGTGAGTTTATTTTTCCCTTAGATGGTGGAGCAAAAGCAAATTTCCAGTCAAAATAAACAGCATATAAAATTATGTATAAATGCATGCATATATTAATACATTTTTAAGTAGTTTATAAATAGTATTAAATTTGAAAAAAAAAAAAACTTTTTGTATTCCCAAAATATTTAGTCCTTGATACAGCAATCTATCCCTCTACAACAATATATTTGACCCCCAAAATATTGCTTAGCATGGTTTTGCAGTATCACAAGTACCATTTTTTTAGAATTACACACTTTTCATTCAGATCATTTAATTATCTTTTTTTCCTCCTTTGTGAACTATTGGTTAAACTATTAAAAGTTAAACTATAAGGTTAAACTATTGGTTTATAAAAATTATTGTAAAATCCATTTTTAATGCTTTTTCTATTATATATTCTAGGGATCATTTAATCAATGTTGTAGTTGAGAGAAAAGTAGCTAGAATGCAAGAGGTCATTGATATAGGTCGCCTTATTCGAGAAAGAAACACTTTACCTATAAAGGTATATTTTATTTTAGTAAATCTTATTTTAAAGAGAAATGTTGTAGTTTATTTCTGTATGCAATCTTTACTTTGTCCTGTGCTATTGGCCAATTGTTAAAGAAGATGTATAATTATTTCATCAACAGCCTTTTTTTATACAATACATGTTTCTTCAACCAGTATTAGTGAAATAATTTGAATTATTCTTACAAAAGAGCTGAAGTAGCTGTTATATTTTGACATGAGCGATATATGTTTGTATGATTGTTAATATTCATATTATTAATATTCATTTTATTTTTAAACAAAGGTGCGTGATATAACATATTAAATAGAATTTAAGTATATCTATTTATATATATATGTGTGTGTATTTATATGTAACATAAAAAGCTGCAACTAGCTTTTTATGTTATTCCATTTCTGTAAATCTTTTTCTTAATTTATTACTAAATGCTCTTTCCCACACTTTAATATTCACATCCTGTCTTTTAACCTATTTTTAGTTCAAGTATGTATTATTAATATTTTAACGTTTATCCCTCTAACTAACTTGTGAGAAAGACTTCTTCTCTCAACTTATTTAATAGACCTGTTATATTTATTAATGTTTCCCTTTTTCCTTGAGACTTAAGACAATGAAGAGAAATACTTGTGCTACTTTCCCTAGGATAGAAACTCAAGCACACATTTTTGAAGTGCAATTTGGGTTCCGCCAATGCTTGAAAATGATCTAAATAGATGATGTGACTCTCTCTCATCTCTTTAAAATTGCCTAAATAAATGACATTTTCCTTCCAACTGTTTGCCTGCGTTCCTGAACATTTGACCATGGCTGTTATTGTCATANTTTTTATGTTTTCTATATATATATATATATATATATACACACACACACTTAAGAGGAGATAGAGGGTAAAATAGAAACATAATAGTCTAAAAAAAATTTTCCCCCATGATTGTCGGTGCATTTTTATTGGCCGGAAAATCGCATGGTAGGATCCGGTTTTTCCACACTAATTTTCATATTGGTTTGGTTGTCATCAGCTTAAAATTGATACCCTGTCATAAAGGTATTGTTCTCCTATAAATATTTTTGCATTCCTAATTTAAAGGTATTTAAAGTACTGTTATTATTACGTTTTGGATTTTTTTTTAATTATGAGTTAAGGATTGTTTTTATTATAAGAATGATGTAATTCTATGTTGCATTTTAAGGTAAAGTTATTTAAATTTGTGCCTGATCTTACTTACCAATTTACAATTATTATTTTTAGTACAAATTACGTTAATATACTGTTATGAATTACAGTTAAATAGATTCTTTAAATGATTCAGAACTTAACTTTCAGCTTCGTGCACAAAGTAATGAATGCAAAAATATTAAATTACAGAGGCGTGAACTTACCAAATTTGTTATAACGATATAATTTTAATTTTAAATGTTATTTCAATAAATGATTGCTTAGGAAAAATGATTTATGTTCACTAATAGATCTTAATAGTATCACGGGGGAAATATTTAGGCATGGAAAGTGGCAAGACAAGTTTTCTTTTTAGTACATATATTTTTGTTTGAATAATTCCAACTGCAATCATTAGGGTTGGTGTGTGTCAGTGAACAGGGGTCTTAGCCCCTAATTATAGATATATAGTATTTTTGTATCTATATGCAAATAAAACTTGAAAAATATAATAAACATCTTTTTTTGGTATACTGTGCGTGATATACCATGAAATTATGTAACTTATTTTAAGTAACATTTGTAAAGTTTAGTCTGTAATAAATGCATTTATTTTTTTATTATCTTTTTAAAGCTGTTATTATTGTCAGTGTTAGATTTTGTTTTGTCTAGTGAATGGATGTTATTGTTATAATATATATATATTTTTCAGTATCCTTTGTCAGAGCTTGTGGTTATTCATGAAAGCAAAGAATATCTAGAAGATGTGAAGTCTTTAGAAAAATTCATTGTTGAGGTTTGAAAAATTAGTTTAATTATGATCATTAATGCTGTGATAATATTAGTTTGAAGTTTTATAAATTAAATAATTCTTTGTTGTTTTTAACAAAATTAAAAAACATTACTTCATTTTTTTATGCTCTACCTGTTATTTTATTTAATTATATATATTTTTTTAAATTTTGAGAATCCATTAGATTCTCAAAGCATTCATTAAGTACTAAAGCCTTAATTTATAAATTTAAATAATTTTTTTATTATTATTGCTATAGTGGTCACTGATAATTTTTGAAAAAGCTTTTTAAAAGCTATGTTTAATTAGAATTTGTACCAGAAACAGTGCTGTTATTGTTGCCCTGGTGTACTGTAGTGCAGACCTGAAAATGTGTCAGTATTCATAGTATGTATAGTTTCACTCAGAATGAAAATTTTGAGATACCTTAACCACATTTGGTCAGTTTAAGTTTGTTAAACTAAGCTAAGAATTATTTTATGATTTTCAATAAAACCCTATTAGCACTGAATAAATATTATTGATAAGAAGAATTTTAAAAACTCATTCATATTCTTTCTATCTAGGAATTAAATATTAAAACCCTAACCATAACAACTGAAAAACAAAGCTATGGTGTTCAAGTTAAAGCTGAGCCTGATACCAAAGCATTAGGAATAAAATTACGCTCTGCCTCTAAAGCTGTAGCAGATGCTGTCAGAGTAAGTAGATTTTATTTCCTCAAAATAACATTTTTATTGGAAATCCTATTACTTGATGTAGTCTTGTTTAATAAGTGAACTATTATTATTTCAATATTAGTTTTCAATTCAGTTGTATGTATTAAAATGTATTAACTATATATTACGAATTACCATGTATTGTAATTATAAATGCAGCAAGTATTTTTTAATTTTTTTTTTTTTTTAAGAAACTTGACAGTTCTCAATTGGCTGAGTTCATGAGCAAAGGGTGTATAACAGTTTGTGGTCATGAATTGGTAGAAGGTGACATTCGCCTAATGCATAGCTTTAGTGGAGAAAAGGCAGAAGAACTGTCTAAAAAGTATGAAGCACATTCAGCTGGAGAGGTTAGTTTGATTTTTTTTCTACCTTCAAGTTCTACTCCATTTTAATTCTTCCTTTATTTTGAAATACTTTATCATCTTTGTATGTTTTAATTACAATATTTTATATTTTTTGTATGAAAATTTATAGGTTTTGATTTTGCTTGATATTACAAGAAATCAAGATATGGTTGATGAAGGAACTGCTAGAGAAGTAATAAACCGCATTCAAAAATTGAGGAAAAAAGTAATTTTCTCTTTGCTATATATATATTTTTAATAACTAAGAAATTTTTATCTTATTCATCAGATTGCGATGAAACTTGGCACACTGATTGTTAGAAGCATAAAGGTCACTATCAATATTCAAAACATTCTCTGAACCCTTTAATGGAAGATGCATTAAAAACATTGTTTATGCATTGCATACAAGTCTTTTTTTCTTTCTTCTTAATTGTAACATCTTTAACGTTTTCTAAAGATTTTTTAACTTATTAACTATTTAATTATTATCGTACAATATATAACAATAACAATTAATTACTATAACTTATTATCTTAACTATTTAAACAAAAATGCATTTCTCATAAAGTTAATTGCATATTTTTAATAATTATGTAAAGATTGTACTATAAACTGCAAAGATTCACGTTATTGCATTAATTTCTGCAAAGAAGATTCTGCATCTAAAAATTCTTTTTTTTCCTCCTCATTGTAACCCTAAATTGAACTCAGAGCATAAGTTTTCTTATCAAATAATGAAACTGATTTAAGCAAATTAGGAAAAAGGCTAATTAAGATAAAATAATAATAATACATCAAAATGGAAAGTGTTAAAAGCAGCTAAAACCAAATTTTTCTTATTTAAACAATTTAGAAAGTTCAAACATAAATCAAGCAAGCAAAAAAAAAAAAAATCTAATGATATGTATGCTAGTAAGTTAATGTGTAAATATGTGCTGTTTTTGTTAACATACATATGTTTAGAAATTCTTCTTTTTTTGCTTGATTTGTGTTTCTAACTGGCATAAGTTTTTAGTAACATTTATTCATTTTTTTTCCAGGCCCATCTAGTGCCATCTGATCCAGTATCAGTTTATGTATCTGTTAGTCCACCAACTGATTCTCTCAATAATGTTATTAAAAACTTTCAAGAATTTATTGTGAACACTATAAAAGTTCCTGTTGGATTTCTTCCATATCCACCTGATAAGAAAGTCATCATTCAGGAGACATCAGATGTAAGTTTTCCCTATCTTTTATGAAAAAGTTTTGGAAGAAAAACAAGATATTTCCCAAGTATGAGATGTCAGCTACTGTAAAGAAATATAAAATTCAGTTTTTGAAAATGTTTTTAATTAATAAGTTGATTTATCAATTATTAGAAAATAGGGCACTATCGAAAATATGTCCTCAGTATGAAGAAAACATTTCTGATATTTCCTTTTTTTATTCCCTTATTTTTATCCCTTTGTATGAAACATTGTTTCTAAACCCATTTGATTTCATAACCTTGTGCTAATATTGTTAGTTAATGTACTTTGATTCCAGTACCAGTGTATTCATTACAGAAAAAAAAATGGGAGAGAGATTTCTAAAAATTAAAAAAAAACACGAATAGACTTGAAAAAAAATTATTTCTTTAATTGTAATACATTTTTCACATCTTCTAATTGAATATTTTTGCTGCATCATCATATGGAAAATGTTCTATATCTACTTTTTCATCGGCTATTATATTTATTTGGCTGAAAAAATCTGTATTTGTTTCGTTTTTACCATTTCTACCGACATTTGTTTAATTTTTATTTGTACATTACAGAGTAGAAGATCTCGCCTTAACAAGGTATTTGTCCATCTTACATTCATGCACAAAAAATGTATACGTCTTACATGAAGAAACCTTACCGACGGTGAACACGTGGTTGCAGAGAAATGTGTTCAGAAAGGGGTTCCGTAGTTCGGAGAGGTTGTGTTCTGCTGTTCGCACCGGTTCTGAACAATACTGATAAATAGGAAGCTAGATAACAAGGACCGATGTTCAAAATAATGAAAGATCAGGGAAGAAAAGTGAAATTGATTCATAGAGTGCGCGAATTTCTCGCGTTAATCATTTTTTATTGCGAGAAAAGAAAAAAATGTGCGAGATTCTCGCACTGTAGTGAAAACACTGCAGTACAGTATAACTGCATCCAATTAATGTGTCATTAAACTCAAATTTTTTTTCATTTCTGCGATTTACCTTTTTAAAAAAAAAGGAAAAAAATTATTTTTTGTTTTGTTGAAGAGGTTGGGAAAAAAACCCCCACTAACTGAAAAGATACTTTTTATTCTGAACTTTTCGAACTGCATTTAAACTAAGCAAAGATAACTTGGAATCCTTGGAGTAGATTAAGATTTGAGTCAGGTGATGGTTAAAATTCAAAAATTTTTTTTAAAATTAAACTAGGGCTTCTGTTGGTAGCTATGCTTTCTAAGTATTTTATATTTATATTAAATTTATTATTTTATATTAAATTATATTATGTAATATCTTACTTAATTAGAACTTAAAATATCTAACATTCCATTATGTCAAAATAATTTTCATATATTTCAAATATTATACTGTCTGACCTGTTGATCTTTTATTCATTAATAATATTTTATTTCACTTGTTAAAAGTTTAAAACAAAAACTTGCTGTGGTATATTATTTTATAGTATCAAATTTGATATTTTCCTCCCTATGAAATACCATTTATACAAAAACATCATTTATGAATTTTCTGCTAAGTTAGCTTCTTAACAGTACCTCCAGCACATTCTTTTAGTTAATTTCTCTTTATTGTGCTTTTTTTTTCCTTTTTATTCTTTTTTTGCATTCTCATGCATGATAAATCTTTTTATCCAATCCAAGCGTAATATATTTTTGGGGTTTAATACTAGAACAACCAATGTAAGAAACTGAATAGTCATATAAGCATGGTTCAAACTTTAGTAGCGATTACAATAAATACGTAAAACAACGAGCAAAGACTAACTTCATCAAACCATTATCTTTTAACTGGAACATACTTATCATAAAAATATTTTATGCAATTATAGTTTATATTAAAATTGTATAGTAAAATTTAGTTGTAAATATTTTGATATTAGTTGCAATATTATATTATTGCTATTGTATAAAATTCTAAATTTTTTTGTTTACAGAATTAAGGATTAACAGGAATTTCTTGAAATATATTTATTTGTTCTATGTGAGTGTGCAAAGTTTAAAATCTGTTGCATACGCCTTTACAATCATATGTACTGGGAATTATTAAAAAGAAATCTGTCAATTGAACATTTTTTTCTATTTTAATTATTTCATTATGCATTTTAACATATGTTCCACTAATTAAAAAAATGCTTGCTTTTTCAATGATTAGAAGAAAAAAAATTGTTAAAACATATGTTTTATAAAAAGTTACATTATTTTTCAGATTAAAGGTGTGCAATTAGAAATGGTGATAGTTAGTTCTGAAGATATAAAACATGAAAAGACTTTAAATGCAGTTCATAAAAACAAGCAGCATTTTTCTCCCGAAGATGTGAGAAAAAAGCTAAAGACTGCTCACATAAGCAGTGAGCCATTTTGTAGGCAAGTAACAACAAATTTAGACTTACAAGTTTTTTGGTTGTGAAGTTATTTCAGTTTCATGCATATTGTAAACCTACTTTAAATTAAAATAAATTTAAGCATTTGAAAAAAATATTTACTAAAAATTGTTTATGTATTCATGTACTCTATAACATGAATAATTCAGCATAAGTCACTTTTTTATTGAATAAATAAAGTTCAAATAGTATGAATGAAATATTATTACCAAAGATATTTATTTAACTTTTCAGCTGTCATGTCTTTCATAACAATTAGATGCACGATTGTCAAATTTGTATATTTTAAATATAAATGTTAAAATTATATTGTAATTAATGTAAATTATAGCCTAACTCCTACGCTTTGACTACATTCTGTGTTTTATTTTAACTTGTTTGAGTTAATGCGCGATCTGTCACTAGAGTACAGAGTTTTCGAATGCTGCATTATTTCACACCTTTTTGCCTCATGGGTTAGACGTTGCATATTGAAACATATGTAATAATAGGTTACTTTGTTAAATGTATGTTGGCATTAACGTTATGTAACTTATGTGAGAGTTAAACAGAGCTGTAATTTGTACTCCAATGCTTATACCATCGATGAAGTGCTTATATCTCTGCCTATGTATTATTGTTACTACTATTGTGATGTAACTAATATTTGTTTCTTGTCATCATATTTATTTTATGAGTCATCCCTTTTGATGTTTGTCATGTACTTATACATTATATGGAGTGAATCATTAAAAGCTTCTTTGAATTATTTGATTAATGTTTAGCATTTCCGGGAGGAACTTACAGTCAGCAGTTCTATAGTTAAACTTAGTTTTCATGTTTTTAGAAGAAGCATGTGGCAAGCCATTGAACACATTTTAGAGAAAGGGCGCCGCAGTATTTAAAGAAAAAAGTTAGATAAATGGTTTTTAAGGTTTCCACTAAATAAATGCAATCTCTATTATGAAAGGGTGTGTTAGAAATTATTTAAATGTAATTAAGCATGAATTCTTTAATAGTATAAAAATTAGAGTGTGTAACTCTAAATTTTCTTTTCAATTACCTTGCCTGCTACTGATCATAAATTGAAAATATTAGCAGTCTTTATCCTGTTTCTGAAACATTATAAAATTCCTTTTTCACTAAATTTGAAATTGCAACCCTTAACCTTAAAACACCTCTTCTTTTGACTTTGTGTGTACCCTTCTCTTGCATTGATTACTAAACACACTGATTGCTTTAATTGTAGCAGCAGCAGAGGTTAATCTGGTCATGAGATCCATTGCAGACTTTCACAAGCAGTGAATTATATTCCACTCCACGCTTTTTTTGTGGAAGATAACGTAACTCATTATGATTTTATTGGTTTTAGAAAATCTATTTTTTTCATAACTCAAGTAACATTTGAAATTATGTACTTGCATACATATTAATCCACTCTTCACTTTAAGAATTATTTTTATCACAATTAAAATTTGGCTGCTCATAAGCATAATTGACAAATAAATGTTTTTATGTGCAATGAGTGTTAAAACTTAATTTATGAACATTATCTGTATATATTTGTAATCCCTTTTGATCTGGTAAATTAAAATAGTTTGTTTTTAATGCTAAATGTATAGATTTGTTATTCTTCCAGTTTCTAATAATTAAAATCTACTCTTCCATTCTCACAAAGCAGTAAAAATATATTATATATACATATAGTATGTATGTGCTTTTCTTTCAAAAAACAGTAACATGTAAATAATGTTAAATTTTTCAGGTTTGTAAATGTAGAGCTTTGTGAACTAAATGGACCATCTGATGTTACAACTACTTCTTGTAGTGTTCTATTAGAAAATCCAAAAGGGCATTATCTTTTGTCCGGTGAAGGACTATCTCGTCAGGTAATAAAAGACTTAGTAATTTAATTTCTTCAGTCAGTTCCAATTTTTTTGTTAAAATTCCTCTGGGTTTTTATTGTTCTTTAAATTTAATTATATATATTATGTTATTTTGGTGCTAAGTTTATGGTAGCAATCCGTTATCAAATGATAAAAATTATCAATCGTGATGCATTAATCATGTATCTTAATATGTGTAACATGTGTTTTCAATTTTATGAGAGAGGAAGTGAAGCTTCATCTTATCCAAATATTTTGTTATCCTGCTTTTGCTACATTAAACCGGATAATTGGAAATCTACTGTATAATAAATAATATCACTTTATTAATTTTCAAACTTTTCTTTTCTTAGGTTCAAGTTGTGTTTGGAATTCATGGCAAGAAACCAGTGTTGTATTTAAATTCAGATAAGACAAATCCAATAAGCACTTGTACAAAAGAAGAAATTATGAATCTTCATTCTAAGACTTTATATGCTTATTTTTCATGAGTATTTATTGTGTTCTAATAAAATAATTTGGTTCAATTTATCCATTTTGTTTTTCAATTTCTTAAAAAAAAATTGCTGGAATAATTTTTAAAGTGATCTCCAATTTGTAAAAGTATGACTTATTTAAATCTTACGTTCTTATTTCAAATTTACCTCACCATTATGTTTTAAAGTAGAAAGCTGATTGTTTTCAAAATTGAATGTAGGAAAGAGGACAATATTTGCCTAATTTATTCTTTAACATTTTCCCAATGATGTTTAGCATGCATATGCTAAAGCTGTAAGCAAAAGGTCAATATTCCTCAACCCCTTCGCATTTGATCCTGATTTTGTTTTCACTTGGCTTTTTCGTATTTACTTTCTTAATAAACAAGTTGATAATTTATACAAATTTGGACCGATGTTATTATTCCAATAGTAATATGTATATTATTCCAATAATAATTTTTTTAAAAAATTGATAGAATGAGATTAATTTTTTTAAAAAAGGAAAAAAATTAGGTATTGTTTTGTATCTAGATTAGAGAAGGAAAAATAAATTGTGTAATTATAGCAACAATGAGTAAAATGGAAAGCTTAATACCAAAATTAAGTAAAAGCTTAGGTTTTTGCTATGACTACAAGACCTAAAATTAGTTTTTAAAAATTGAGCTGTATTGTATTTTAGTCCATTGCTGTTTGTGGTAGTATTATTCAGAAACCAGTGCCATTTTTAAACTAACCCTCCTATTCCAAGTGCCCTTTCTATAGGAGTGGATTGTTCTTAATAGGCGGGGAAATGGGAATGCACGTCTGCCTTTTTTCTGATTTCAGAAATATATATTGAAACAGTTTTTTAATAAAATGCATTTGTAAGAATTTAGTTTGTCAAATTCTGTAATATTTTTTACTTTAACTTTGTTAACTTTTTTTTAAAAAGTTGGCTAAGAATTTTACACCTAGGATAAATAAATATTTCAGTGTTGTAGAGAACACTGGGCAACAGTTCTTAACCTTCTAATTTACCATTTCATATATTAAGTAAATTCAGCTATTTTATTTTTCTAATTAAAGAATTAACAATTACAAAAGATTCTTTTACTCACTCCAGGTGACTCTGCATTGGTAAATTTATCACCTGCACTGGCAAAATGGAAAAGAACCTAAACAGTTCTGTTGAGTATCAGACAAGTTTTAATCAGACTTAGGCCCTTTACCTTTAAAAATTTACAATAGTGTAAAAAATATAAGACAAACACTATTCAAGCATGATCCTACCTGGTTTATACTAGTAATAATGTTTTTGTTTTAAGCACGATATAAAAGCACATTACTTGTATTGCCAGGCACACATCATAGCACTATTCCTTATACTGTTGCCCAAAATTTTCAACTTAAATGCTATTTTAAGTTTAAAGACCTTTCCTTACAATGACATTTATTTCCAAATCTATCATAAGAAATTAAGTGTAAAAAAAATACTTAGAAACTATCTGATCTTGTTTTGTTCAACACAAACAGGTAAAAAAAAAGTGATTGAAGCTCTAAATTTGATTTATGAAAACGGATTTATATAACTGTATTTCACAATACATATTGTTTCCAAAACATATATTTAAACATCAAGCTTTTGCTTATAATTTCTTTCGACAAAAATATTTTTGATAACTATTACTAAAAAATCAAAGAACAATAGTTCTTAAGCATAATATTGCTAATTTTTTTCCATTAAGGTAATTATGAGAGACTAGTTTCATATATTTATTGTTTTATTTAATAAGGTTAATGGAAGACATTTCCGGAATCACATAAAAAACTCAAGTTCTTATTTAACAATTTTAGTATGAATTAAAGCTTACACCAGAGGAAAAAAACACAATTAGTAAGAATTCTATGCTTTAATGAAGGCAAATCAAGGAAGAATAAGATAATACATGAGCTGTTATAGAAATAAGTTGGTTGGAACAACCCTTTTGTTGGAATGAAATGAATTATGTATCATATTAATAAAAACTTTTTTAAAACAGTAAATACACTGCATTACTTAATTTTTTAAAGATAAAATGAAACATTTAAATCACAAACCAAAAACTCTACTAATGTACTATTGAGCTTAATTGAAAACAGCTGCAGAACTTAATTGAAACACATAATCATAAATTTTTAATAAAATGTGTAAATAATGTGGATAACACTTATACATTTCAGTGCAATTCTACAGAGACACATTATTAAAACTAAATCTTAGCATCTAGTAAAGGATTAAGATAGGATCTTATGCAAGAAACTGGAACACACAGAACATAAGTTTAAGGGAGTTCAAAATTATTTTTCTTCACACCATTCATTTTCTTTCCGTACTTGTTCCTCTTCACTGGGTGTGAAATCATTTTTGATGTTGAATGTTTTTCTGATTTCTTCCGGCGTCTTTCCTTTGATCATGTTCGCGACAGTCTTACATGTGACATCAAGAAGACCTTTGATGTCCAAATAGTTCGCAGCGAGGATGAGCTCAAACAGAGTACCCTGATCCACTTTCAAAAAATCTGCATCCCATGAACTAATATCATCAGTTCGTTTATCTTTACTGTCATCATCTTCAGGTGGTGGAGGGTCATCGCGATGAAATGTGGCCCACTGTATGACTTTCTTTAAAATAGCTGAATTAACATTAGGTAAAGGTACAACTTCTTGCTCATCATCATCCATCCCTAAATCCTCTAACATGGTTTTTATGGTTACTGAAGCCTTAGCTATTTCTACATCAACTTCAAATATCTCCCCATCGGAACTTTGCAGCTTTATGTTAGGCATATTCTCAGCAGGTAAATTTAGAATTCTGCAATTGAAAAAAGATTAGATAAAAATGAAACTTGATATTCAACCCACAAAATTTAAATTATTTATGTTAGGTCAGATAATATGGGGAAGAAAAAAAACATATCAAAACAGTCTATAGTCAGTTTATTAAAATGAAAAAAAGTTGGATTTTATTTTAGCTTGTAAAAAATAATTCACAATGCTTCAATTTGCAAAATTTCAAGTTGAAAATTTATATATATATAATCAGCTACATCACAGCATCAAACTAAACAAAAGATTTGCTTTATACCATGCTCTTCCGAAATAAATCAAATAAATTCATATCCATAGAATTTTACTTATAAATTAATGTTCATTTTCATCTCTATTCTTCAAGTTTAAAAATTAGATATGTATTTCTTTCCATACATTTATGGAAAGAGATCTAGGATTTTGATATTATCAAAATCCATTTAAACTTCTAATTTACAAATATAAAATATTTAGATTAGTTGATTGGTAAAAACTTCTAATAGAAGAATCAGGAATATCTTGCCAGTATACAGATGTTTTTGTATATCACGTGCATCAAATACTACAGAGATTTTATAAATTAACTTTAATTTGCAACATACATGAATAGAAGTTTTTTTAAATTCAATTTTATCTATTATGACAAATAATTTTAACAACTTATCAAAGGATGTTAAAATAAGAATTTAATAAATTACTTACAAAATCTTGCTTGTGTATTCAAACAGTTAAATACAAGTTCCATAATTTAAAAAAGTACATTGTGAAGTTAGTTAAACATTACATTTATTTAGAGATGTAAAATTTTTGATAATTATCATCTATAGAATATTCGTATCAAGGAGCATACTCTCCTAGCTAATGTTTATATATAAATTAATATTTAAAAAAATATGAATGCACTTATAAACAAATCTGATCACATTATTTACTTTTTTTTAAAAATTTAAATCATAAAAAATAATCATACATTAATTGAAAGTAAAAAGAAATATTTCGCAAAAATTGTTCTCTAAACTTTTAAAATAACTACTGTATATTATTTATATAAATATGCATACAAATATTATAACTGTATATAAATACTAAAAGAAAATACATTGGAAATAATCATAAATTTGATACAATAGCAATTTTTCAATAAATAAGAAATGAAACAAACATTGTTTGAACATTATTTTTAAAATATTCAAGATTGTTCTCAAAAATGAGATCTCTCTAAAGAGTAATTCAATTATAAAGGATGCTCTTAAAATATTACTAATTAAAAATTTGAATTCCGAGAAATTATGCTACTAAATTAAGCTATTAATCATAGTATAAATGAAGACATTTAATTTAAAACTATATAAATTTTTATTTGAAAATTTTAAAAAAGCTTTGTTTTTATGAACTTTTTGTCAACAATTTTTTAATTTTTTTAGGCTTGATTTTTTTTTTAAATAAAGAGTATCCTAAAAACATTTTAATCCTAAATTTTAAATGTTTTTGTTTTAGAAAGAAAAAGAAAATACAAAAAATCAAAATCATATGCTCAATTCTTTAAATTTCAGCCTTAGAGAATATTCTTAAAATATTCTTGTTGTTACATTTACCTTACTTCTCTAAATTTAATTAAGTAAGAGTCAACTTTAAGTAATGAGAATATTTATACCAGATAATGAAACATCACATAATTATTTGCAGATGCACATAATATACCTATAAGAATGTGAGAACACTGTTCGCAGAAAATTTGTCAAAACGACATTTTTTTAGTATGACTCATTATAATAATAAAAAAAAAAAGAAGCCAAGTGTAAGGTAAGACAAGGTAAATCAATAATAAGTTTTATAACTTCAAAAATCTGCTAAATTTAAATAAATATATACTGGTATATATGATAACCAAAAAATTAACTCTAAAAAAACATTGATTTACGACCAAATTAGGTGGCAACGAAAAGAGTGACAATAGTTACAACAGCTAAGAAATTACACACATTTAGTTATTTAGCAGGAAGTTTTTTACTTGATCTATTGTTTATCTTTACGCAAATTATAAAGATTTGCTACCGCCATTTTATTCTATGCAACCTATCTAAAAACAAAAATAGAATTTGAAATGTTAAAAAAACTTAAGTTCGTAGAATGTTTTCTACTCATCCTTCAGATACAATTTTTTTTCCTAAGATTTACAAAAAAAAAAATTATAGTCAGAAGAAAACGAATTAAAAATAAGTTCAACAAACCAATTGGCCTTCAATAAAATGTTAAAATTGAAAAAGGAAAATCAAAGTTAGGAAAAGAAAATCAAAGCATCACTTAAATAATTAATGTAAATGAAAGTAGAGAAACAGGTTAATTATGTTCAGAAATTACAGTATTTCTTTAGGAAGTATACAGAATTAATATTTTTAGAAAAATCATAAAAATTATATCATTTATTTAAAAAATATACATTAAATAAATGTTTTTATCAATCACGAAATTACCCTTTTTAATAAATAAATTTCTTTAAAACTCAGGTTAAATAGTTGAGGAAAACTTATAACTAAATGTTACAATTAAATTGATATTTTTTAAAATTTCAACTGAAAGTGCTAAGATATTTAATCAGCTAAAAGTCCAGATTATAAAGTGTAGCTAAAAGTAAAGTTTACTAAGTTCAAATAATATTTTAATTGCATGATTAGTTTGAAATACTTGAGTTAAGAAAGACATACATAAAGAAAATTTGCACAGATAATATTTAGTCATATTTCGGAAATAGTTTCTATCATTATTAAGCTTCAAAAAAATTAAGTTGAATATAAAATAAGTTTTTTTAAAAATAATTCTTCCAATAATAAATTAAATAAAAATATTTCTTGGATTCCAAGAGACAGTCTGCATAAATTAAAAATGAATGCAATTTGTCATAAGATGGCTCTTAAGCACTGCATACTTACTATTTATGATGATTATTAAGTAATAGTAAATTATTATTTGAGGAGATTATTTGCTAGGGGGAAAATAATGAAATAGGTCTCAAAAAGTTTAAATATTAAGTTAGCAGTCACTTCAAAGCTAATGGGAACTATATAAAAATGTAGCGTAAGCACAATAGAATTTAGAATGTTAGGCTAAGCAAAATTCTAAGAATTTCTAATGCAGAACAACTAGAATTTAGGAAAAAAATTTGAAATAAGGGGAAAATATAAATAGTTTAAAAGTTTAGCATATTATTTCATTACTTACACTATGAATTATTTTATTATTCTCAGCAATATACTGCAATTTTAGCACATCAAAATAAAACTAACCCCAAGGCTGTAAATGTGTTGCCACCAATTATTTTAAATACTTCAAAATAAAAGAATAGTTAAAAAACATTAATTCATTAAGCCATGCAATTTATAAATAAAAAGGATCGTTATAAGATTATTTGAAAATATAAATCTTGATTATTCACTTATTATTAAAAATTTCATTTTATTTTTATGGTAGGATAGAAAATCTGGCAACAGCAAAAATTTGACTTAAAAATAAAAATAAGTTGGAGAAAAAAGAATAGTAGGTTAGGGGCGTAAATTTTTAGAAATATAATATTATAGTATATTAAGAGCTACTTCTAATAGTTGTTGTTATCTAAATTTGTAAAGTATGATTCGTTTTATTCTCATCCAAAATAGAGCTGGTAAAACTCGCCTTGCTAAATGGTATATGAATTTTGACGACGATGAGAAACAAAAACTAATCGAAGAGGTGCATGCTGTAGTTACTGTACGAGATGCCAAACATACCAATTTTGTAGAATTCCGAAATTTTAAAATAGTATACAGGCGTTACGCTGGGCTTTATTTCTGCATTTGTGTTGATGTTGGCGATAATAATCTCGCTTACTTAGAAGCCATTCATAATTTTGTAGAAGTGTTAAACGAATACTTCCACAACGTTTGTGAGTTGGATTTAGTCTTCAACTTTTATAAAGTATACAGTGTGGTTGATGAAATGTTTTTGGCTGGAGAAATTCGGGAAACAAGTCAAACCAAAGTTCTAAAGCAACTCTTGGTATACAATTCTCTGGAATGATCAGTTGTTATAAATTCATTGTATGAATTTCCCGTTGAAACAAACTCTTGTTGGTGTGTAGTAATGCAAAATTCATTAACTATTTACAGTTTCGTACTATTTCAGTGTCTGAGTAAAGAGTGTTTTAAGTACATAGTTATTTACATTCCATCTGTGTCACGAAACATGAGTGTTATAGACATGGCCTTCTTCCCAACTGACATATTGTTTTCTCTTGTATTGAAAATTTGGTGTTTTTCTGAAATGAATGTGTTAAGAAAGTTTATAAAATTTTGAATATTGTTATTTTAAACATTTCAATGCATTTTGTTATTTCTGTTCAATAAACATAAATTGACAAGTGTATAGTATCTGTCTCTGTTATGGATTATTAAAGTAATTGCTACATGAACAAGTACTCAGTGCAAAAAAAAAAGATATTCCTTATTGTTACTTGAATTGAAATTGATACCGTAAATAGAGACATAGTATAACATATCGTTAGCAACTGTATTATTATGCAATAGAAAATTTACAATCTCGTTTGGAATGAATTAATTTTTTTTTATAGTTAAAGAATTTGCGTTACTTATAAATTTCAATAATACACGATTAATATTTTAATGGAATAATTCCCGACATTGACACTGTTAAAAAAAATTGTTATGTTGTAGGCTGGCCAACCACCTGGAATTATCAGGGAATTTTTTTATTCTGGAAAAGGAAGGCTGGGATTTTTCTTAATTGAAATTATTTTACCATTTGTTACATTCACTTTTTTTAAGATGGAAATTTATCGCCAAACAGTTGAATTATCATCAACTTAGAAATACTTTGCTTGCATTAAAATTTGCTCCATTATAAACCTGTTAAACTAGAATGCCACTTGTAACTCTCCCATGGTTGCTAAATGATTGGAAAAACCTTTGACCTATTTGGAGACTGCAGTTTAGGAAAGGCAAAAAGATTCTGAGGGAGGTGGAAGAAGGGGTTAGGATATTTACTTTTTTTTTATATATATAAAAGCATGAGTTTTCTTTTTTAATTCTAGTCCATGGGCAGAATCTATTTATCATTCAAGTATGTTCTGATGCTTTGGGGGTGTTATTTTCTTTAAACGGAATTATTCAAAATGTTTTAATATTTTTCACTTTATAAAATTCTCCAAAAATTTTTTAAAGTTTAATAATGGATTTTTTATTGCACTGTTTCTGAAAGTTTTTGTACTCCTATCCAATGAAATTGGTGAATTATTTTTTCTCAGCAAAGCCATCAGTTTCATAAAATCGCTAACAGCAATGTTTGTTGACAAATCGTTACAATTGTTCCATTGATGCTTATTTTCTCGATTTCAATTTAACCTTGTATAACCTAATTTATTTTTAAAAAAAAGGTTCTTTTACGAACTAACTATATCTTGACATTTAATTTTACTGTTTTGTTGGTAAAAATTTGATTTTACGATTCAAAATTTGAATTGTAGTAATCAATTTTTTCTTAAGTTATTATTTTTTTTATTCTAGGATTTTTTCAACTATTACAAGATGGAAATATTGACATTGATTGATCTATTCCAACAGGAAATAGAGGACAATTTAAATTAAAGATGTTTTTTTATCAAAAAATAATGTTGATTAAGTGATATTGATATAAAAATTAAAGTAATTTTCAGTCATCATAATGATTATCACTCACTTAAATTTCTATCCAATTTGAAAAATTTTCAGCTGAAACCGAAGTTAAAAATTTCAAATTATGTATCATATTTACAAGTTAAGAACTGCATAGAATTCTTTATTCAAATGGCAGCTTCAAAATTCAGTCAAGTTTTCATTTAAATTTTAAGCAAATTCACAGAGTTGAGACAATTTGCAAATGAGTAATCATTTTTTGCTTTTGTGTGACTTTTTGTCTGACACCAACAATTTAATCCATTTGATTTGAATTTATTATCATCCATTATTATCATTTTGATCGATGTGTTTTATTCCATCAGTTTTAATAAAACAAATTGTTTTTTTGATAGGTTAAGATGTACTAAATATTTTATATAAAAATTTTATGACTATAAACTTCACTTTGGTTTATGTTCGTCCAACACCACGGATTTGAAAAACAAAAACAATTAACTAATCTGAACTGAGAAAAAATGTGGTTAGATTGGAATTCTTTAAATATTTTAATTTCAAATAAGAAAAATAAAAGTTGAAGAATTTTTTTTGTGCAATATGCAACAAGAAATGTGGCAATTTTGCATTTGTGACATTCATTTTTAAATACTGAATATCTCAAAAGTAATAATGCTAATTCAAAACAAACAACATTATTTAAATGTTGAACTTAAGATATTAGTTTTTAAAAAAAATATGATCAATGAATTTTATTAAGAGCACTGTTTGGATAAAATACAGTATAAAATGGCTCTATATTGAAATGTAAATAATTATAAAAATTTATTGATATATACCCGCCTGGTATTATTATTTTTTTTTGATTAATGAAAATATATTAAACAGTACTTATCCAATGTTTTTTAGGTCATTCTGTTCTTGCCATTCGGTACACTTTGTGCAAAAATTACTTAAATTAACACATTAAAATTTTTTTTATTCAATAAAAACAATATATTCTATTCTACAAGCTTAACATATTTCCTCCACATCTATCTTAATATTTTAAAAACTAATGTACTAAAATAAAAGAATTTAAAAAATAAAAAGCAAAATCTTGTTAAGTTGTCAAAATTAATTAAGTCTAATTATTTTTTCATGATGATATATTAAAAAAATTCATTTTAAATAAAATACTTATATAATATTGACACTTTTCTTGTACCCATGCTTAATAAGAAAAAAAAAGATGCTGACCTGGAAATTTTAAGATTTTTATCTGGAAAAATCAGGGAAATTCGAAACCTGATTTGAATGGCCACCATTTTTGGTTTTGAGGTAAAGCAAAATTTTTCAAATTTTCTTTTTCACTTTTATAGTTTTGTCTGTTGACTGACAACCCATATTTTCATGCATATTAGAATTAATGACTTCATTACAAAAACGTTTCTTTAAAAAAAACAATCATATTTTCAATTATATATATTAGCACCAATTCTTTCGTACACTTTCGAAACATTTTATATAGTTTTTGCACGATAACTAAATTTCTGTACCTAAAAATGTATTTAGCTTACCTCAATACCGAAAATGGTGGCAACTATAGACCAAAATTTCTAACGCTGTAGAAAAAATGGAATTTTCATAGTTAGAATTTTTGATTTTTTCTTTCTTTCTTTTCTTAAGAAATAAAATCTTTTCTAGTCATATTTTTTGCATAGTACTCAGTTGTTTTGGCCTAAAATATCATGTCAGTAATCTTTTTGCATCGATCCATTTTTTTTCCAAAGTCATTTACCTTTTATAAAGCTTTGGAAAATATGATCCAACTTCATAAATTTTTAAATGCCTATTGGGATTTTTTTTCCATCCTATAAATTGTATGGCTATCCTCAAACTGCCGATAACTTAAGAAAAAAACAAAACAATGAAGGGCTTGAGTTTTATCTACATGAATCTGGGTAACAGTAAAGGTTCTCTTGGGGTCAAAAAGAGAAGGCAACACAATCTGTTTTATCTTGTGTATAACACACATTCATTATTGTTCATCAAGTTTATTTGTATTTATAATCATAGAATTTTTTAAAATTGGTTGTGTCCCGCAGTGGACTGATGGTTAAGACACGGTTCCCAGCAGATCACCGAAGTCAAGCATCACTGGCTACGGTCAGTGTGCGGGTGGGTGACCACTTGGATCAGTTTGCGTATGGACCGAGGGTGTGCGGTATTGGTCCTCGTTAAACTGTGCTACCGTGAAGTGCTCGACTTCGCGCGCAGGTCGTTGGGCTACCGAAGCGGGGGTGCCATCCCCTCCGCAGAGGATCAAAATTGTGATGGCATGTCTTCGGATCATCCTCCGGGATGTTTCCCAGACCGTCGCCAATAGCCCATTGTGCAGCTCTAGTGCGACGTAAATCAACAACAACAATAAAATTGGTTGTTTATAAGTACAAAAGTTTAAGTTCATGGCCAATTTTTTTCAATAGATAAAATTTTGAAAATCTCACTTAGCTATACACTAAAAAAATTGCCTCAAAAATCAAATTTATTTTAGGTTATTGTCTAAATGAATTTCTCTTATTAAATCAATCTTAATCCTATAGGCGTTTTGACATAACAATATTTTTAAAAAAAAAAGTGTCTATAAAGTGTTAAGTGCTTTATATTTCCTTTTTCAGCTGTGCTGTGGGAATAAATAAAATTAGTAAAAGTATTGTTTAAAATTTTATTTTAATTGAAAATGAAGAGTCCAGTCAATTAAGTTGATACAATGAAATTTATTATTTGAAAATATCGAACTTTACCAACGTTCAGTGTTGCTGTTCAGGGCTCAACGTTGTCAGGTTGTGGGTACAGTGTAATAAACAATGTGTTTCTTAATTATTGCTAATTTTGTATTTTTAGAATCCTTTTCTAAAATGAAGTAAAAAATGTACCTGTTCATTGCAGCTAAAAAATACCTGTTATTTAAGCTAGGATAAACAAAAGCCTTATCAAAACACCTCAAATCACGTTTTAGGAATACAGAATTTAAAACATCAAACCCAATTTGATTGTTAAAAAAAACAGAGAGGAGTCATTGACACTTTTTTTTTTAAATGAGACCTGAGTGTTTGGATGTACTTTTCTCCAAAAGACTAGAAAAAGACGATTTTTTTTTGTATGTTTAGTTTTTGGAAATAAATAAATAAAAAAAAATAAATTTAAAAACCTAATTATTTAAAGAGAGATTTTTTGTGTTTAAATCTCTAGTAAAAAGAAAATGTGTTTCAAAAAAATTATAATTTTACTGCTATTGAACTTGCATTGAAAAAACGATATACTGTCAATATTTAATGACCCCAAAACTAACTTGAATTTTAAAGTTATTTTAGATGACTTGACATGTGAGCAAAAATCCCTATTTTAAATAGTTTTTGCTGAACTATATTAGACGGAGCTCAAAAATAAATAATCATTTTTGGCATGAAATAACTCGAAAATTAATGACGACGTAAACGAAATTTACACATTATTACATTTCTCTAAAAATATACTAAGTTACATATTATTTCTCCTCCGGGATGTTTCCCAGACCGTCGCCAATAGCCCATTGTGCAGCTCTAGTGCGACGTAAATTAACAACAACATATTGTTTCACCTAATAGTTATTAAGAACTTTAAAATTCATTTTATTTTTCTAAAAAATATTTGTTTATTCTTAGGCTGTGAAATGCAGTTTACGGGAAACTATAAGCATAGGAATTGGGATTTTTT